TCAGGAGGGAGCAGGCCTGCATCGGCTCTCCTTGCTATGACAGAGGCCACAACAATGGGCGCGCGATACCGCTGCTTAGCGCTGCGTTTCGGAAGGGGAACCTGCCACGGGCGCAGATTAACAACAACACACACACACACACACACACACACACTCGCATGCGCGTGCACACACACACGCACACACACGCCCAGACGCACGCGCGTGCGCACAAAATAGATTGCAACCGCCAAAACAAAACATCTTTCAGAATGCCTCCCCTGTGATTAATGCAGTGATGACAAGAAGAAAAATATAATTTCGGGCGGGGAAAAAATTCACTGCCACTTGTTAAAGTTTGGCCCACTAACAATAAACACACTGGAGGGAGAAAATGGGGGGGGGGGGCACAGGCAGGAGGGAGAGGAATCGAAGGAGATAAATACATGAGTGATGGGTTGAATAATTTCCCCAGCTTTTTTTGGTATGTGGGCCCCTGTGCCCTAACCCCTAACTAAATAACACAATGAGAATATTCCGGGCTCTGACAGCTTCTGCCTTCTTCCAGCTGCAAATTAAGACAGTATCTTGTCATTTTTTGCAGCCCCGCATGCTGCCGGTCGAAGCTCTCAGCTCTGCGTCTCAGGCAACGCTCCAGTGACTGCTGGGGAACATGGGCCCAGCGGAAGGAGCGCACGTCCGCGAGATCAAAGCCCTTTCCCAGACATGTGCTACTGTACCTTTTCTTCAGCCAGATAAAGACTCCTTAAAAATGCCGTGGAACACACCTCAAAAACAAATCACGCCAATAATGCAGCAGAAAGGGAGAAAAAGCCTAATCATTCCAGAAAGGAAAAACAAACAATAACCCAAACTATAAAAATATTGCAGTTTTTTTTTGATGGAAATATAAATTATTTACAGCTATTACATTTTCAAAGGATTTCTGAAAAAAAATGTTCAGTGTTGCATATCATGGGCTTTTAGTTCAAGGTCAATCATAATAAGCAGTGATTTGAGAAACTCTAGAAATTTATGACAAAACAGTCATTAACCTGGACCTCTATTGTGTCCGAGTCACAAGCCTTCATTAAAATTAAAAAGGAAAATATATTATGTACAGTAGATATAAAATGTATGCATGCAGCAATAAAGTAACCCTATATTAACGCACAGATTTATTAGCATAGAAAACTTTAATTGCTTGATAGGACAGTAAGACAGTAAGAATTGAACTCGACTCGCTGTCACATTAAAGGCTTGCTGCAAGAAAATGTTTACTAACCGGCTATTTTACCAGACATACGAAGGTACAAGAACACACAAGGACAGGAGCTCAGTTACTGACGGCATAGCGCATCTACAAGCGACATCTCGGTGACAGAGAGGACAAGCCGTCACCGGTGCCGTCAGAGCAGATAAAAATAAAACACAGTTGTTGTCACTATCATCGCGCTACGGAACACGCCATGGACTCGGCGCAGGTCAGGAACTACACACATTTAGGGCTTCCTGTGTTGGCTACGCCGGCCTTGATTAGGAGCTGTAATTATCAAAGACTTAATTTTTTAATTGGACATAACGAGGATCCATACCTTCATTAACGGGCATCGGGAACGGAACCTAAAGCTGCAACCCATTATTAGCTCTTGTCCAAATCAATTATTAACACCTAAAATGGGCTCAATCTTTCAGAAAGTCTACTTAAGATGAGCCATGGGCTTGTGTCAGGTTCTGCCAAGCTTAGGTAATTACCACAGCTAAGACACCTGCTACTCAATCGCCTCGACCCAGAATGGTAATTTAGCCCCCACTACAGACATTTAGGTCTAGGTGTCAACATTCATTTGCGTTAATTTGGTGAGCGGGCTGCCACGGGCCTTCCGACACCCCCCCCTTGCCGAGTGTGATAGTAGCTCACCTGCATGGGGCTGATTGCGTAATTGGAGTCTAATGGTCTGATTGATCTGCCCAAGGAACGGGGAAGAAGGCAGGGCACTGGCAATTTCATCACTCACTTGGGGGGAGCGCGAGAGAGTCCGGAACAGGGATGGGTACACTTTGGGTCTATGAGCCAGAGACCAACCTTGACAGACTGCACCACTGTTCCTGAAATGCAGACCCCCCATGTCATGAATGATGATGTCTCCTGTAATCTCGATTTGGTTCCCGAAATTTCACCTGGGGCTGGTCACCCCAGCGGCCTGCTGATGTTCCAAATCTTCTTGTCACAGTGGAACAAGTGACAACTTTGCAATTAAGAATCATGCACCATGACCATAGATAAAACCCCATCGAGTTAGTTAAAATTTTTGTTCAACAAAATAATAAGTGTCTAAAACTCTTCCAATACCCGTGAATCAGTAATGAAAGTCTTCCAAACAATACGAAGAATAAAAAAACATGGATTGAAAGTATAGAACTAAGCAAATGTAGCTCAAATGCTTAATTAGAGAGTAAATATCCCCACAAACCTTTGTATCCGCTTAACATTTCACCTCCAAAGCATCTTCACAAATTTCCCACTTTATGACGTCTCGGTGAGGTACAATCCTATCAGTAGACCCCTGGACAAAGCCTGCATAGTGATGTTTGCATCTAAATTGGCCTCATGCAGGGAATTTTAGCTTCCAACATGACCTTCAGGTCACAATGGCATACGGTGGGCTCTGAGTCAAACATCCAGCAGTGACAATGCCCAGAATCAGGTCACCCCTCAAGCTGGGACGAGACAGAAGACTGAATTTGTGTGACATCACACTCATGCTTCTTGGCTCAGAATGTAATCAGCTATAGATCTGCCAAGAAAAGACACCTAGAGATAAACTGTAATACTTGTAAACTTTTTTCAACATGCAGTAGAAAACAATATACTATATTGTATATATCTGCATTTTATGTTTTTTTTTACTACCAAAAATATGAAAAATATATATGGATCAATAAAGTCCATCTTATCTTATCTTATCTTATCTTGCCTTGTCTTGTCGGCGTGTCTCTCGTTTATGACGGCGGAGCATATTAATGATGAAGCACAGTCTTTGTGCAAGTGGAGTTCTTGATTTGAGTCTGTTGACCAAACCCTGCATTTGAAAGCCCACACTTCAGCACCTGCCATCAACGTTGTACCTGCATGACTGGAGTAATTCATTCGCCTCCACAGTTTCGAAATTCAAATGAAAAAAAAAAGAGCAATACCGAGATTTAGTAGCCTCTCAAGATCAAGCCGCAGAAATTCCCTCTTGGGTGCGGTGCAGGTGCAGGGAGTGATCAAGCTTCATTTCCAACTTAAGTGCTTTATTGCCCCTAGTGACCCAGTAGTGAAATACCCAGCATGCATAAGGACCAGGCAGCTCTCTGCCTGACCCTGGGTAGAGATCTGCAGCCTCTCCTTTGATGGGATCCCCCTTATGTCCTCACACTGGTATCGACTTGTTTCTAAAGGTTGCGTTGAGTCCGATTCTCTGTTTAAACCAAATCGTGTTAGTAGCCCCGGCCTGACAGCTTCGTCCTCTCTGTGAAACTACGAACGGTTCGCTCCGAGAGAGGTGCCGTTCGACGGTCAAATGAGGGACCTCTTCGGTATTCCACTCTCAATGTATTAACATTCCGCACATTCCAAGGATCTAGTTAAAATCTCCACATGTGATGCGTTGTGTCAGGAGAGAAACAAGAAAAAAAATCTTCTGCCTGTCTGTCATCATCAGGGACGTCCTTTGGGAAACGCGGAAGTTGTGTCTTGCGGCACAGAAAGCGCCTTGTGCCAAATGAGCCACAGGGTCCTTAAATCACAGTGTTGCACAGCACTAAACGAACCCTTTAATTACTGCGGTTTAAACATAATTTTTAACCTCCTCCCCATCCCCCCCCCAAAGCATTACCCCGGTAAATCCCACCCCCACTGGTGATCTTTGAACTGTGAGGTTTTTTGCTCAAATGAAGGAATTTCACCGGCACGTGGGAATGATTCATCGGCTCAGTTCGCACCCGCGATAACCTCGGCGCTTCCACCGTTGAGGTGCATTTAAACTCGCTCTCCTCCCCTACTCCCCGGCCGGCATTTCCATTTTAATTGTCCTCGCTGTTTCTGGCGCCGGCGTGTCATCGAATCGGAGTATCGTGGGACCGTTCCGTGTGAACTCACGTTAGGAGCGGAACCAATATTTGTGCTTTTCGTAACGTTTTTGAAGCGTAAATCCACAAGGAAAGCTAACTTAAACGTGGCATGGGAATGGGTGTTAAGTTTTTCAGTACTGGAAAAAATACATAGTTATTTCAAAGGCATTCCATTATTTATTTCTTAGCTATTGGTGGGGGTAGTGGGGTCACATGGGATACAAGCTCTGAAATGGGCCAAACCATTTTGGAGCAGGATTCAGTGAAGTTGTGTAGAAGTAATCCTAGAAAAAATGGACCGCTGAGTCCAAACTCCTTGAGGACAATTCCTTATGTTTCTTAACAGGATAACTGAGATTCGTTACAATTTTTAATAAGTATTGCTTAATTAATCCAAAAGCAAAATTAAATATTAAACCCTAAAGGATTTCTTTTTCCACCAGAGCAGTCAGGTCAACATATTTTTTTTTAAGTAGTTAAAAGAACTTAACGAGGATGTTTAAACAAGCGAAGCTGGCTGATTGCTATAAATCTGTGTGGAGAATAACATCAAATACAATGGGTGGTGAAATAGACTGAACCAGGGTCTGGACTCAACTCAAAATCTACCAATTAAGCCATTTAGTCATAAAATATGCAGATTAAAGAGTTAAAATGGATGCACTTCAAAGCTTTTTGTTAGGCTAAGTTGACTACAGAATAGTCAACTCCATGTCAAAGGGATGTCAAGGGAGATCCCCCCTCCCCATAAAAACCAGCTTCGCCACGATCCTTCATAAGTGGTGGGGGGCTGCTTCCAAGCGATGAAAGACAAAGTTAAGGTAGTGAAGCCGCTAGCGACCCGCTAACGGCGCGGGGCATGGGCGGGGCACGTCCTTCGGAAAGGGGAAGCGGGGGCGACGTACCGTGCTACCGCCGTCGGCGCTCATCTCGATCTTCCCCTCGAACGGCCCCCACGTGGTGCCCACAGAGAGCTGCTGCCGGCTGTGAATCCGACGTTCTCCGTCTTTCTGGAAGACGTCCAGTTCTCCTAAAACGGCAAGGTGAAAGCCATCACGCGTGGGGCTAAAACTGCCAGGACAACTTCCAACTCGAGACCTAAAGTGATAAATCTCCCTCGTCTGTTCCATGAATCTCAAGGGGTGATGTGTGAATGTTGTAGCATTCTGGGAATGTCGTGGCATTCTGGGACTTTGAGTACAGTTAGCTTCTGCGAGACTACAAATCTCTAGACTCTTAAGCCCCCCAGTCTTTGTTTTTCCCCAAATAAAACACTTCCCCCACTGGCACATTCCTGTATTTTTAGTCGACGTAGCTTATCTAACATCAAACGTGCCTGATTAAGGAATCATTTCGCTGTAAGAACTTCATCCAACTTCATCCACAAGTAGGCCAGGATTGATTACCGACTGCTCTGTGGCTTTCCTCAAGTCGAGTGAGTCATTAACGGGGGAGGGGCGCTTCACCGGGGGACCCTGACCCCTGCCAGGTTTGGCTTAGTGGCTTTAGTCAATATTGCAAAGCGTTTAAATTTTAGATTAAAAAAAAAAAGAGAGAGTTCTGCTTCAATGTGCTTCTCATCTGCTATCGTGAAACTTTAATTTCGCGCACTTTTGTACTGCATTTTTGCCAAGTGGACCGTAGCACTTCGTCCGAGATAACTTTATCGGCTAAATGAATAAAATGCAAACGTATGACGCTAAATAAGACAGACCGCCGTGCAGCTGACGGTGTGGGTCTGGATTTCAGCTACTTGCTTACATTTGTGGATGAACTTCAGTGGGAAGGAGTCTGTGACGGTGTGTGTGTGTGTGTGTGTGTGTGTGTGTGTGTGTGTCGCGGGGGGTTATATGAAAATAACCCCACCAAAACCCCTCTTGGAAGCCCTCAGCTCCTCTGATAATCTCAATGAGATGTTGCAGGCTTGGTAGCTGGCAGCACAACTATTTTGGGTTTTTCCTGGAAGGGCCCCTCTCGTTAGAGCTCTGTGGAACTCCAGCTAATTAAATGTGTAACCGGATAGCACTGTGAGCCCTATCTTATCTCTTAGATTTAGTGTACTTTTTTAGGGCAGTGATTAATCAAATAGTTATGATAATGGACTCCCGGTCACGACTCCCGCTTTCTCGAGAAAGTCATGCGGATCTCAAGTGTGCATTTCCGAGCGGTCGCCTTGGCAACGCAGAGAGTTTCGATTAAGGAGGGCTGACTGGCTTTGGAGAAATCAGACCCTTAAATTTCACAGCTACCCGCATGTGCATCTGCTTGGCCTGCAGGGGGCGCCCCACCTTTCCGCTTAATAAAGCTCCACCCTCTTACTCTCTGCATATCAGACGCAATTAACAATCATCATTTGAGCCAAAACATTGAAAATAATAAGAATAAACTCCAGAGTGGCATCTTAAACGTTGCATTGTGGGTATTTCCCATGTATTGCAGGACTCCTGGTGCAGACTGTTAGAACTTTCTTGTGTATTTTTTCCCTCCATATCCTTAGAAAGCCTGAAAGAGGTTTAGTGGGTGAACTGCTGACCACAAGTAGAGTTATATAATAATATTTTACACTATTTATATTTGCACTGAGGTGATTGTAGTTTCCTTACAAGAAATGCACCTTTTTTAAGAGAATAGCCGCAATCCTCTCCCGGGATTTAAACCTGCTGAATCGCATCAACACCCAAGTCTTTATTCTCCTCTATCCAGAAGTTTCCTGCGAGAACTTTTTCCCACCTCTCTAATGCTTTGAGGTATCAGTCTGATGGCACTACTGTAATAGGTGGTTTCCATTTTAATAAATGAATACATGTAATTACCATTTAAGACATTAGCACCTGGTGCAAAAAATTTGGGGGTCTAACACTTTTGGCTAAGGATAAAAAGGTCGTATTAAAGGATGGAAAACCTCACAAGGCAGCACCTGCGTGAACTGAGGGGGAAACATGAGCGGGAGCAGCCCAGGCTGCACCCAGAGTGGCAGGGCAGCGCGGCTGGGAGAGGTGGGTAAAGCTCATTAAGACAAAATAATTAAGCATCCAAGCACAGCTGGCAAGCATCAGGGAGAAAGGAACGCGGAGAAAGAGCCCCGGCTTGATGCATCCTGTTTGTCCTCTGATAAGGCCATCGGCCCTTTACCACTTGGATGTGGGCTCACGTTTAGCCCTGCTTGACACTTTGGAAAGCTGTCTCCGGTGGTGGATTCTGTGGCATGGGGGATGGAAGGGTTGGGGGGTTGGGGGGGGGGGGGTGGCATGCATAGTGACTGGGTGCCAGTTGTTTGTGTCCCCTTCCAAACGTAGCCAGAGGACCTTGAATTCCCAGCTGCCTCTCCACAGCTGTTGCCCACACCAGCAAAATTTTAAAAAAAAGGTCTGAGGAAAACATGGAATCCAAAAGTACAATCTGCATACGCATCAGGGAAAACGCCACACTTAATAACACTGTTAGAACATGATTAGAACATGATAAGAACATGGTTAGAACATCAACCTTTATTCTACGCATGAACTTCACCAGCTATTTTGTGTCTTATACAGGCAATAATATGCCTTTGTTACCAGTTTCCAAACGATAGGCTGTTACTCAGATGAATGAGAGCAGAAGACCACTGGCACAAATAAATGAATTTTGAAATTGTATAACATACTTTTAAATAGATCTTAAAATACCTTTTCATTGAAAATCCTGTTTTCACCAAAATGTCTTTAACTAGCCATATGCAATAAAAATCTGTACTATATATCATGCAGGTGGTGCAGTAAATGTGAACAATATGATTATGTATGCAAAGTGTCAGATTGTCTTATGTGGTCTGATGGCATCTCCTGTCATCAAAGAAACAACATATATTTAACAATCATTTTGCCAAGACTGTAATCAGACAAACTATCAAAAAATACTATTTAGAGGGAGTTTGCTCAAACGTATCCCAGCAGTCACATGATCAAGGAGGGACAGAAAGTGTAGGATTCACCCATCACTGACATCCTTCAGGAAACTCATCCCAGCCCTAAAATGCCACAGTCTTGGCAAGAAGCAACTGACGTGGGACTAAGGAGATTTCTTCAACCCCCCACCCCTCCTCCCCCCCACATCCTTCGATAAGATCATCATCTGTCGCTAGACTCTAGGGTCTGTTCCTACTCTCCACAGATACTTGGCACACCAATGAACGTCCCTTTATGTGGATGAGATCCTCCTCAGATAGGACCACGACGCCCAGTGCTGGCATCTGTTTGCCATGTGCCACGGATGGATTCAAGCGGAGACGTGTTTCTTCCGCTAGTGCTGCATGGCAACAAGCAGAGGAGGGCCGGCTCGCGGAGTACGGCGTTCCACCTGAGGCCAGTCCTGCCCAGAGGTGACCCTGATCGACATCTACTGGACGTCTACTCCAGGCCCAACCAGGCTTCGTGAAGAAAGTGGCTGTGAAATTTATCCAGCTCTTAACAAAACTGTCCCCTCAAGAGCCACCAGGGCTGAGCTCCTTGGAGGTAATCTGTGATCTGATGCCATAATCGATGACTAAGGGCAGCACGGTGATGTAGCCATCAGGGACATTCAAACTGTCCTCCTGGGTTACTCGTTTAACCAATATACCCCTATTAATGTTTATTTCTTTTCAGTAGTCAGGGTTACAGTTAAGGTACGACTTTGTGAACTACTGTAGGAACAAGTCATGAATATATAAGTTAAATACTGATCTCATGTTTGTTCATCATTAATGAATCACGTTGCATTGTTTATCTCAAGTGGCGACTATATTTGTTCATGATTTTTATATGTTTCCAATGCATTACAATAAACTTGGGAAGAATTTATCAGTCTGGCACCTGTCCTATATGTACCCCTGCCTGTGTACCCCTGCCTGTGTACCCCTGTCCTATATGTACCCCTGCCTGTGTGTACCCCTGCCTGTGTACCCCTGCCTGTGTGTACCCCTGCCTGTGTACCCCTGTCCTATATGTACCCCTGTCCTATATGTACCCCTGCCTGTGTACCCCTGCCTGTGTACCCCTGCCTGTGTGTACCCCTGCCTGTGTGTCCCTGTCCTATATGTACCCCTGTCCTATATGTACCCCTGCCTGTGTACCCCTGCCCGTGTATCCCTGCCTGTGTACCCCTGCCTGTGTGTACCCCTGCCTGTGTCCCCCTGTCCTATATGTACCCCTCTTC